CACTTAAGGAAATACAAACTCAGAAAGGGACAAAAGTGGTTTGGAGGGACAAAGAGAGCACAGAATGAGCATCTGGTGTGGGAAATTGCAGCATATTTAGGCAAGGGGGGATACAGGGATACAGGCACACAATAGGGAGATGGTGCAGTGCTCTGCACCATCCCATGCACAAGGACAAGGTCTGGGCATTCACATGGGACAAGCTGGAAAGTTTTTTGGAGAGATGGGGGGATCTGCACACCCATGAACACAGTGTCTGTGCAGGGAAAGCTCACAGGAGGGGTAACTCAGGCTGAACCACAGGTAAATGGACAAACCCCGTCCCTGGCAGTGTTCCAGGCCAGGCTGGGCAGGGCTGGGAGCAGCCTGGGGCAGTGGCAGCTGTCCATGCCCAGGCAGGGGCTGGAGCTGGAGGAGCTTTAATGTCCCTCGCAGCCAAACACTCCTTTGATTCTATGATTTCTGCTTTTCAGCAAATGTTGGCTGGGTAAACATCAAGCCAGCCCAGTGTGTGATGGCACCAAATGGCTCCGGGACCAGCTGCAAAAACCTGCAGCAGTCCCTGGTGCAGAAGGCTGGGCAGGAAGGAGTGAAAGCATTGCTGTGCCTCAGATTCCTGATGCCCACTGGAGCAGGAAAGCCAAAGCAGGATCCGAGCAGGATGTGTCCGGGAAGGGGCAGTGCCCACCGTTTTGGGGCCAACTTCCCTGTTCTGGTCTGTGGGGGCCAAACCACACCAAGGGCAGCTCCAGGGCAGCCCTGGGGGCAGGAGAGGGCATGAACTGCAGACTGAGGGCAGATCCAGCAGAGAGGGACCCACCAGGAGACCCCCAGAGCCCCTGGAGCCATTTCCTGAAAGGCCCTGAAGTAGGAGTGTAAGTTTTAGTTTTAAGTAGAAATGGATCTGTGTTAGCCATAAAAGGCTCTAAAGCCTAGTTTAAAGTTCAGTAGTGATACCTTGCACAACATTAACTTAAGTCCAGACATCATGAAAACATAGCAGAACACTGCTTGCATTTCTGGATAGAACAGGCAGAACCATTTGTGTGAGCAGATAGAACTGTGTATGTAGGTTTTGGGTAAGGACTGACGCTGCTTTTGCACATTAGAATTAAGCCAGGAGAGGTGTAGGAAGAATGCTTTAGGATCGTGTTTTCAGCTGATTATATGACATATGAATAAAATCCCCCTGTATTGGGGTAAATGAGGTGGCAGTAGCTGCTGCTGCTTCTGCTGTTGTTGTGACTGCACGTGCTCACACCGAGAGCAGGATGCTGGATGCCAGGTGGGGAATGTTTCCTACAAAAAGTGTCCCCAAACCTGGGCAGTGCCCCAGGACCACTGCTTGGATCAGTGCTGGAGCCAGGATGAATGCTGGTGATCTCCTTTCCTACCCAATCTCTCTTTCACACTCTCCTGCCTCCCTCTTTCACTTCACTCTTTTATTTCTCTCACTGTTACAACGTAGGTGCAAAACATGTGCTCATTTTCACACCGGGTGTGGAGCTGGCCAATAAAACCTGGTGAGCTGTGTTTTTGGGACCCTTCTGGCTGCTGCCAGTCCTTTGTGACCCTTCCTTTGGGCACCTGTGGCTCCTGGGTGCTCCCTGCTACACAGGAGTGGGCCGTGACACCTGGCACGAGTGAGTCACCGAACAATGGAACAACAGATTCCAGAGAAAAGCAGCTGAGATGAACACACAGTGATGCACTGGGGGGAACACGTCAGATGGAAGATGACAGGCTGGTGGCTGACAATTATCTCTCAGGAACAAGCTGTCACTGCTCTGACAATGTTACAACACAGTTCAGTGATCAGCAGTTCCAAAAACAAACCAGATATTAGAAATTCCCTGGCAAGGAGCAGGAAACGTGGCCAGGACAGTGCAGGGCGTCTGAAATGCCACAGTCCTGAGCCTCCAGGGGCAAAACTCTGCTGGTGGAGGGAGCAGGAAAAGGGTCTGGGGTGGGTGGGGGAGATCTGCTCAGGGACATCTCAGTGTGAGGGGTTGGGCTGTTTGCTACCTGCCAGGAGGGCACAGCCGGGGAACAGGGACAGGAGCAGAGGGAGCGGCCTCAGGCTGGGCCAGGGCAGGCTCAGCTGGGACAGCAGCAGCAATTTGCCCATGGAAAGGGAGCTCAGGCCTTGGCAGGGGCTGCCCAGGGAGCTTTGCAGTGCCCATCCCTGCAGGTTGTGAAAGATGGTCTGGAGTTCCCCAGAGCGTGCCCAGGACAGACATCAGGGCCCTGATGGGAATTCAGGCCTGCCGGTGGTGGATGAACGCCAAAAACCCTGAGGGCCCGGATGGGAATTGTGGCCTGCCAAGGGATTGTGCACAGCTGCGTCTACAGCTTCTGGCAGGGCCTGCCAAGGGGTGGCACACCCTCGATGCTGGCACCTGTTTCACAACAATAGACCAGGAATTTCCCCACCTCTTGGCCTGGCTGGGCTTTTCTGGGGTAACCTGTGGTGGTCTCCCATCACAGAAGAGCCATCATCTGCTTTATGACCATCGTAATGGACAGGCTGAGATGGGAGAAGCCTCTCCCTCAAGGACTGGGACTGAAACCCCTGTGTGGGACTAAGCCATGAAAACCCTATGTGGAGAAGTTCCTCCCTCCTTCCAAGGACTGAGCCATGCACACCCTATGTGGAGAAGCCCCCCTCTCCCTCAAGGACTGGGACTGAAACCCCCGACCCAGGGGAGGGGGAGCTGACCTGACCAAAGCCACATTTTGCCAAGCACTCCCTGATGGCTGCACCAAGACAGTGGCTCTCACAGCTTACTGCTGAGAACGTGGACTACCTGTCACATCTGTTCTTTCCCCTCACAATTTTCAATAGAGTTATCATAATAAAAACCTCTGAGCTGACCAGAGATTTTGAGATCTCCGATATAACAGGCAGGTCCTCAGCCAGACTGGACAAAAGGAATTCATCTCTATGTTTGGAAGCTATATATCCCCCCTCCCTCTTTGTTTTTCTCTCGTTCTCTGTCTTTTCTCTCCCTTAATCCCTCTATCTCATTTGCTGTGGTCATTCAATAAAGGTGCATTTGGTTTGATTATCACTTCAATCCCCATTCCGTGTTGGTTTTTTGCACTCTGATATCAATTAACAAACCATCACCACCCCTGTTCCTACGAGCAGATTGTGACACAGGTGTCCCCTGAGGTGGCACTCAGTGCTCTGGGCTGGGGACAAGGTGGGGAGGTCTCTTCCAGCCTCAGGGATTCTGTGATCGCCAAAACAGGGTCTCCCAGAGCCCAAAGTGCTCACACACGAAATTCAGGAGGGTCTGCTCCTCAGGCAGGTGATTCATCCCTGAAACAGCAGTGTAGTGAGTGAAGAAGAGATGTGAGTGAGGAAAAGATGTGAGTGAAGAGCAAATCAGCCCCCAGGCTCCTCCTGGAGGAAGGTCTGTCCCCATGCTGAGGGCAGGGGCTCAGGTGAGGCTTTCAGCCCCAGTGATGTGCCCAGGGGTTCCAACAAGCTGCACTGCTCCCTCTCAGCCCTGCATTTCTGGTTTGTGGTGGGAGTTGTTCTTTTCCCTCTGAGGAGCAGCCTGTGTGACATTTGCTGCCTTTTGCATCTTTTGCATGGCCTGTTCCATACCCAGAGCCCTGGGTCGGTCCCTCTGGGCTCTCCTGCCCCGTGCAATGGGCAGATGCCTGAGAGGGGAGCAAGGAGAGTTTGTGGTGAGGGCCAGGGCTGGGCACACACCTGCTCTGGGAAGGGAGCTCTGGATTTCTCCAGGCTGGAGCAGCCAGCTGCCACCCAAACACTGTCCCTGTGCTGGCAAACGCTGGCACCAGCTCCTTAGAGAGAGGGGGAAGTTCCTGCCCAGGGCAGCACCTGTGCCAGCAGCTCTGCTGTTAAAGCTGCCCCAGAAGCTGCTGGGCTGCCTGGGAGGGCTGGAGAGAGCGTGAGGCTTTTCAGGCTGGTAAGGCTGACTGATTTGGGGGCATAAATGCAGTTCTAATGCAAGTGAGCTACTTCGCAGCTCTCAGGTTTCTGTGTCTGTCTCCTCAGGCTTGTAGCTGCTTTTTCTGGGGCGTTTTGTGCTATTTTAATGCTGTAAATGCTTTGTCTTGCTTCTGTGTTTTACAAAGTTCGTCTTAAAACATGTCTGGTTCAGGCCCTTTTGCTGTGTCAATGAGGAATGGGAGGCAGCACTATAAAATTGGTGCCAGCCTCTGGGCAGGCAGAGGAGGCAGAGGCACAGTGTGTGAAATGTCTTTTATTGCTCAGATCAGAGCAGGCTGGAGCACCCTGGGGTGCTGGGATGTGACCCTGCCCACAGCAGGGGTGGAATGAGATGGGCTTTGAGATTCCTTCCGACCTTCTGTGATTCTCTGGTGATTCAGCTCTCCACTGAAGGCTTCAGGAGAGGGTGTCCAAGTCTCAGACACAGATAGAGAAAATGTTTTCCTGTCTTAGCACAGTCCTGAAGTCACCACGGGCCTCCTGCAGCTCCTGGCCCACACAAGGTGCCGTGTTTGGTGCATTCCCTGAGCTCAGGAGAGACATCCCTGAGCATCCCTGAGCATCCCTGAGCATCCCTGACATCCCTGCACTCCCCGAGCTCAGGACAGACATCCCTGAGCCCAGGACAGACATCCTGCACTCCCTGAGCTGTACTCCCCACAGTGCTGCTGTCCTGGTGATAACGGTGCTGGCCTTGCCGCCTGCCTGGGGGCTGCTCCGTGTCCTTGGTGCCATCAAGATGTGCGGTGTTGTCCCTGGAGGAGCTGCCAGCTCCCAGGGAGTGCCCGGCGGCACAGCACCTCCCTCGCTGCTGCCCGCAACAAACACACTGCTGTGCTGTTCCTCTGTTCCCTCTCTGCCCAGCCCTGTCCCCTCTCCTGGCTCTGTCCCCTCTCTCCCAGGGCTGTCCCCTCTCCCATAGCTCTCTCCCCTCTGTCCCCTCTCTGTCCCCTCTCTCCCAGCACTGTCCCCTCTCTGTCCCCTCACTCCCCTCTCTGTCCCTGTCTCCCAGCGCTGTCCCCTCGGTCGCAGTCCGTTCCCGGGATGGCAGTGGCGCTGGCGGTGGCGCTGGCGGTGGCGTTGGTGCCGCTGGCAGCCGAGGCGGGCAAGGACCCTCTGCTGAACGTCTGCATGGATGCCAAGCACCACAAGAGCCAGCCGGGCCCCGAGGGCAAGCTCTACCAGCAGGTACGGGCGGGGCTGGGCTGGGCCGGCACACCTGGCTGGGTACCGACACACCTGGCTGGCACAGCTGGCTGGCACACCTGGATGGGTACCGGCACACCTGGCTGGGCACCTGCACACCTGGCTGGCACAGCTGGCTGGCACACCTGGATGGGTACCGGCACACCTGGCTGGGCACCTGCACACCTGGCTGGCACAGCTGGCTGGCACATCTGGATGGGTACTGGCACACCTGGATGGGTACCCCAGAGCACAGCGGGGAGAGGAAGGGAAGGGAAGGGAAGGGAAGGGAAGGGAAGGGAAGGGAAGGGAAGGGAAGGGAAGGGAAGGGAAGGGAAGGGAAGGGAAGGGAAGGGAAGGGAAGGGAAGGGAAGGGAAGGGAAGGGAAGGGAAGGGAAGGCTCTCCTGTGCTGCCTCAGTGTGGGACACCCTCCTTGCTCTGCCCCAGCCCCTTGGCAGAGGAAAGGGGTTTGTTTCTGTCCCTGGGCTGGCACAATTCCTGCTGAGGAGCTGATCTGCTGCTCCAGCTCTGCCTCGCTGCAGTGCCCAGCTCCTGAGTGACCCAGAGTTTGCTGCAGAGGACAAAGTGCTGCGGGACTGTGGGCTGTGCCCCTGGAGCTGCTGCCTGTCCCCTCTGTGCTGCAGTGCTCCCCCTGGAAGGACAACGCCTGCTGCACGGCCAACACCAGCCTGGAGGCGCACAAGGACCAGTCCTACCTCTACAACTTCAACTGGAACCACTGCGGGGTGATGCCGGCCCAGTGCAAGCGCCACTTCATCCAGGACACGTGCCTGTACGAGTGCTCCCCCAACCTGGGGCCCTGGATCCAGCAGGTGGGCTCAGACCCGGCAATCCCGGGACTCTGGGGTTGGGAGGGGCATTAAAACTCATCCTGTGCCACCCCTGCCATGGCAGGGACAGCTCCCACTGTCCCCAGTGCCCAGCCTGGCCTTGGGCACTGCCAGGGATGCAGGGGCAGCCCCAGCTGCTCTGGGAATTCCATCCCAGCCCTGCCCACCTGCCAGGGAAGGATTTCTCTGCCATATCTAGGCTGCCTCAGCTTTTCCCACAGGACAGAAAGCTTCCAAGGGCTTCTCTGGCCTGTGACTGATGGAGGAGTTCCCTGTGTCAGGACCCACCTGTGCTGGGCTGAGGCTCCTCTGGGCCCAGCTGTGCTGCCCCAGGAGGGGCTGGGGGGGTCTGTGTGTGGCAGAGCCCCCAGGTGACGCCTGCCCGGCCCTGTGCCCTGCAGGCTGACAGCAGCTGGAGGAAGGAGAGGATCCTGCACGTGCCCCTGTGCAGGGAGGACTGCGAGGAGTGGTGGCAGGACTGCAGGGACGCCCTCACCTGCAAGGAGAACTGGCACAAGGGCTGGAACTGGGCCACAGGTTGGTGGGCTTGGGAGCCTGTCCTCACCCCTGGCGGGTCACTGGCACTGCCACTGCTGCTCTTGTCAGAGCCCAGGACACCCCTCTGGCTGCCCTGGATGGCTCCAGACCCTGGCAGGGGCTCAGAGACCCTGGCACGGGGTCACAGACACCTGTGCCTTGGATTTTAGCCCATGGAAACAATTCCCAGCTTTGTGTGAGGAGTTACAAGCTACAAGGGTTTGAGTAGAATGATAGTGAATTTGTCACAGGGTGGAAAAGTAGAATTTTGGGGATTTAGAATGAGGGTTTAGGAGGCAAGATGGAGGGATCTGGGTGTGTCTTCTCCTTCTCCTTCTCCTTCTCCTTCTCCTTCTCCTTCTCCTTCTCCTTCTCCTCTTCTTCTTGCCCTCCATCTTCTGCTGGGATGGTGGCACTTCTGGATTGGTTTAGAGTACAGACAGACTGTCTAACATAGGTGATGGGTATTGGGAAGTTATTGTAAATACAGTACAGGTAGTTCTTAGTATAAAAAGCCAACACCACCCCAAGAGCAGGGACTGTGCCACAACCCAACCTGCTGGACAGATCTCAGCAGGTCAGAGAAATAATGGAATAGATAAGAGAAAATAAATAACATTGAGAACCAGAGCCGAGGAGTCTCAGTTTCTCCAGTGGCAGGGCTGGGAGAAAAGGGACTTTCTAACACCTCAGGGACCATCACAGGCACAGGAACGAGACCCTGTCACCTCTCTGGGGTGTCGGGAGGGTGGCCGAGCCCCAGTGCTCAGGTGTGGCCGTGGGCCGTGGGCAGGTGAGCTGCTCTGTCAGGGGAAGGGCAGGAGGGAAGGGCCGTGCTCCCCCTGGGGTTTGTGACAGTGCCACGCTGCTGTGCCCAGCTCAGGTGTGGCTGTGGGCTGTGGGAAGGACAGGATGGCCGCGCTCTCGGTGCCACGCTGCTGTGCCCGCAGGAACCAACCGCTGTCCCTGGGGCTCCGAGTGCCGGCCCTTCCACCAGGTGTTCCCCCGGCCGCAGGACCTGTGTGAGAAGATCTGGTCCGGCTCCTTCAGGCTCAGCCCCGAGCGCCGGGGCAGCGGCCGCTGCATCCAGATGTGGTTCGACCCCGCCGGGGGCAACCCCAACGCGGCCGTGGCTCGGTACTACGCCGGGATAAAGAGATCGTCCTCCCCGGGCCAGGAGGGCACCGTGCCGCCCCAGAGCCGTGGCACCGCGCGGGCCCTGCCCTGCCCCATTGGGCTGCTGCTGCTGCCCCTGCTGCTGCCCCCGGCGCTGGGGGGCTCCCAGCCATGGGGCTCCCCGTGACCCCTCTGCAGCAGCTGGCACCGCAGCTCTGTCCGTCCGTCTGTCCCCGTGCTCAGCACAGTTTCTGTCGCTGGACCGTGGTGCCGCCTCTGTGCTGACCGGAGCAGGGATTTCCCTGCCTGTGCCTCTGCTGTCCTCTCTGTGGGGGCTGCTGCGCATCTGTCCCTCCCCTGGCTGGGCTCTGCTGTTGGTGTTCGGGTTGCTGGGACTCCCTGAAGGAGCCTTTGGTAATAAAGTCTGGCTCTGTTTCAGCCCTGCTGTGCTGATGTGAAATGTTCCTGAGGAGGGGAGAGTGCTGGGGGTGCTGCAGGGTGTGGGCTCTGTAAATGGGGGAGTTGGCCTGGGGGCAAGAAAGATCATAAAATCACACATGGTTGGCATTGGGAGAGATGTCAAATCTCATTTCTTTCCACTCCCCCGCCATGGCAGGGACACCTCCCACTGTGCCAGGTGCTCCCAGCCCCAGGTTCTCAATGTGGGCATCTCCCAGCACCCCTTTGCCTGGGCACCCTCTGGGGATGCCCCCAAGGTCACCTCTCACGGCTGGGCCAAAGAGATCTGCCCTGGGTCTGGGTGGGGGCATCAATCTCTGCTCAGCGATGGGCTGTGCTGGTGTAAACAGAACTGCCTCAGTCTTGTTTCAGCTGCTATTGCAGCTGCCTCTCTGTGCAGGGAATAATGCTGATTCATCTCTCAGTCTAGACATTGCCATAATGAATTTATATATTTATATAAATGAATAGATTTATATTATTTAAATTCATATATATTTATATTTTTTATATTTTTATAGATATAATATATATTATGTTACATTTTAAATTGTATATAATATATAATATATAATATATAATATATAACACATAACACATAATATATAATATATACTATATAATATATAATATATAGTTATATATATTATAATTATAATTATACACAATATTATAATAGATAATATAAAATATAATATATTATAATATACAATATATAATTATATTTATTATATAATTATATATTTTTATATTTATATGTTATATTTTTATAAATAATGAATTCATATATTTATATAAATGAACGATTTTGTATTATATAAATCTGTATACATTGTATATATTTATATAATATATATAGGATATGATATGATATATGATATATGATATATGATATATTATATATTATATATTATATATTACATATTACATATTATATATTATATTAGAATATATAATGTATAATAATATATAATATCATAATATATCTTTATATATTTTTATTTATATTGATATAAATAATGAATTTATATATTTATATAAATATATTTGGGTTCCCAGGCTCACTCCTGGAGGATTAAATCATGTCGAGGTTCAATCACAGCTGTGCAAAGCTTTAGACAGCAGCCACTGATCAGCTCTGGGGCTGGGCTTGGACCCAGCCTCACCCAGAGCCCCCTCTGGGGAGAAGGCCAAGGAGTCCAGCTGGGGTGGGTGGTGGTTTGGGGGTCCATGGGCAGTGTTTGGGGTCTATAGGGAGTGTTTGGAGTCTATAGGGAGTGTTTGGGGTCTATAGGCAGTGTTTGGGGTCTGTGGGCAGTGTTTGGGGTCTCTGGGCAGTGTTTGGGGTCTGTGGGCAGTGTTTGGGATCTCTGGGCAGTGTTTGGGGTCTCTGGGCAGTGTTTGGGGTCTATAGGCAGTGTTGGCGGTTTGTGTGGAGTTTTTGAGGGTCTATAAGGAGTGTTTGGGGTCCCTCCTGCTCCTCAGGACTCAGGGGAGGATCCCATGGCAAGCTCTGTCCCCACTCTGCCCATGGGCAAGGCCAGGGCTGCCCGGGCCAGGCCAAGGCCAGGCTGCAGAGCTCTGTACTATTTCAGGTATTTTCAGCAGCTTTTAGATCAGAGCGGCTGTTTCCAGAAGTTTTCCTGGCACACTTTTATTTTAAAACGTTCCTAGCGTGTATCCTCTGCCACAGCTGATCCGTAATTCCTTGCCTTTACGTGAAACAGAGAAGCACTTTCCCTCTCCAACTTAAACAGGATGCATTTAACCTAATTGCTCAGAATACACTCTCTGGTCTCCAGAATTGGGAGGTGGGGCCCACAGCTGGCCAGGGCTCAGAAATGTTTTCTAGCCCCTGAGTGGGGGGTGAGGTTTGCCCTGCCTGCCCCAGGTAGGGAAAGGGGAGAAGGGAGAAACCCCAAACACTGCCCCAGGCAGGAGCAGGGTGATCCCTGTCGAGAGAAAAAGCCAGGAGTGATGGTTTACAGAAGGAAATGGCACAAGCATGGGCAGCAAAGAGGAGGATGGAAAGGCAAGAAGAGATTTGCATTCAGCAAGGGGCAGACGAAAGCACAGGCTGCTCTGTTCTCCAAACGGTGGGGAAGCACAGGCAGTGATGGATGGGGTGACCAGGAATGGCACTTACTGTGCTCTTTGTTATAAATTGTTGTTCCTGGAGTAGTCTAACGTCAGCAGCATAGTGAGAAATCAGGGAGAATAGGGGAGGAAATTAAAGGCTAATCAAACAGATGGTTTTGAATTAGCAGGGCAGGGTAAGGGCAGGGTGACCATTCCTCTGGCAGCACTCACAGAGGGGCAGGGGCAGCCCAAGGGATGCTGGCAGAGATCCTGGAGCACGAACAGACGATAAATGGGAATGAAAACCAGCGTGGAGTGGGGCAACAGAGAGGTGGAAAGGGGCAGAGAACCCATGGGATCAACATTCAGCTCCTGAAAAGCTGTGCAGCAGAGAAGGCCAGTCCTTAGGGAGCACACAGGGCAGTGACTGAGGAATCCCAGGCACAGATTGTGACAGTGAGAGTGCTGCAATTCCTGCTGCAGGGGGGCAGCACGGGGGGCTGCTGGGGCACAGACAGGGCGTGGGGCTGGGACACACCCGGGACAGGGCTGGGACTCACCTGGGCACACCTGGGACAGGACATCCACGGAACAGGGATGGGACACAGCTGTGTGAAAAATGCCAATCACTTGTTTTTAAAATTTTAAAAGTTTAATGGTAATAAAATGGTTATAAAAATAGCAATATAATTACAGTAATAATAATTTGAACAATTTGGATTGGGACAATATGAGACCATAAAAACAAAGAGTTACAGACAGCCCAGGTACCTCATTCGGGGCAAAATAAGCCCAAAAAAGGCCCCACGTTAACAGAGGATTACCCCTTAAAAACAGTAACCTGTTGCATATCCATACACCTCATCCATGATGCATAAATTCCATTCAAACACAGGATTCTGGCTGGGCAGTGTCAGCTCCTTCCTCTGAATCCTGATGGTGTCTCCAGGGCTGAGTGAGGCAGGCGGAAGTTCATTTCTCCTGATAGTGGGGCAATAAATTCTCTTTCTCTGAAAGATTCAGGTGTCCTGTGGCTGCTATCTGGTGTGAGTACCTCACTCCTTTCTTTAAAAACATATCCCGCATACATAGTTCCTATTTTAATATTATGTTATAGCCCAAAAGTATATTTAACACACTACTTAAGAGAATTAACACAGCATAACTTTCTAACATAACACATATAATATTCATTTTAATATTTGCAAAAAAACAATCATAAAATATGCATTTGTGATATTTCTCTCCTTGATTTGAAAAAAAGACAACTCAGGACCTTTGGGACTTCACCTCAGTCCTGGGGCTGCCCATTGAACAGAGGCCAAAAAGTCCTACCTAGGTAATATGCTAGAAAAAGAAGAGAACAAAGGAAAAATTTGCTTTTGGGGGGTGTTTTAGCAGGAACAAGAACCTCTTGCCCCGGCTCGGTTTTTCTCTGTAAAAGCTTTGTTATTTTCCCTTTTATTAAAACTTTTTTTGTTTCCAAAACCGCCTCAGAAGCCATCCGGCTGATTTTATGCCATTGAGGTGGCTGGGCTATCTCAGGTGTGATGGGTTCTCTGAGAGCTCCTAAGCCCTGGCTCGAGGAAAAACCCATCAGGCTCGAGGAGAGACCATCAGGCTTGAGGAGAGACCATCAGGCTCGAGGAGAGACCATCAGGCTTGAGGAGAGACCATCAGGCTCGAGAAGAACCCACCAGGCTCGAGGAGAGACCATCAGGCTTGAGGAGAGACCCTCAGGCTTGAGGAGAGACCATCAGGCTCGAGGAGAGACCATCAGGCTTGAGGAGAGACCATCAGGCTCGAGGAGAGACCATCAGGCTTGAGGAAAGACCATCAGGCTCAAGGAAAACCCATCAGGCTTGAGGAGAAACCATCAGGCTCAAGGAGAACCCATCAGGCTCGAGGAGAGACCATCAGGCTCAAGGAGAAACCACCAGGCTCGAGGAGAGACCATCAGGCTTGAGGAGAGACCCTCAGGCTTGAGGAAAGACCATCAGGCTCAAGGAAAACCCATCAGGCTTGAGGAGAAACCATCAGGCTCAAGGAGAACCCATCAGGCTCGAGGAGAGACCATCAGGCTCAAGGAGAAACCACCAGGCTCGAGGAGAGACCATCAGGCTTGAGGAGAGACCCTCAGGCTTGAGGAAAGACCATCAGGCTCAAGGAAAACCCATCAGGCTTGAGGAAAGACCATCAGGCTCAAGGAAAACCCATCAGGCTTGAGGAGAAACCATCAGGCTCAAGGAAAACCCATCAGGCTTGAGGAGAAACCATCAGGCTCAAGGAGAAACCACCAGGTTCGAGGAGAGACCATCAGGCTCCTTTCAGGCTTGAGGAGAAACCACCAGGCTTGAGGAGAGACCATCAGGCTTGAGGAGAGACCATCATGGTTGGAGGAGGACCCATCAGGCTCAAGAAGAACTCATCAGGCTCGAGGAGAACCCATCAGACTCAAGGAGAGACCATCAGGATCCAGGAGAGACCATCAGGCTCAAGGAGAACCCATCAGACTCAAGGAGAGACCATCAGGATCCAGGAGAGACCATCAGGCTCCTTTCAGGCTCAAGGAAAAACCCACCAGGCTCCTTTCAGGCTCGAGGGTTTTGTGCAGGTGCCACCCAGGGGTGTCAGAGCAGATTTACTGAG